CTATCCGGATCCAATAAAATCACAGGATCTCGTGTAACAAAACAAACGCGAAAAACATAAGAAATTGTAAAAAAAAACGTAAATAACACAAAAAATTTACTATTATAACTAACATCCGACCTCTAAGTAGAAGTTTTCAAAATGAAATTTTACTTATAAAACGCGATTGTTAATGTTAGATATATAGAAATTCCAATAATACAATTTATGCAGCATGTAGATCATTATATGGCTTTAACGAATTTCCTTATGTCAAATTCTCTATATATCTAACATTGACAATCGCGTTTTATAAGTAAAATTTCATTCTGAAAACTTCTACTTCGAGGTCGGAAGTTAGTTATAATAGTAAATTTTTGTGTTATTTACGTTTGTTTACAATTTCTTATGTTTTTCGCATTTGTTTTGTTACACGAGATCATGTGATTTTGTTGGATCCGGATATGGTCAGAAGTGATCTTCAGCCCGGGATTTTTTGACATAAGAGTATCCGGCTTTAACTGACCCCAAAAAGGAAAAACATGAAGTAAACAAACCCACATGAAAGTGAACATTGTGATTTCGTATAATATAAAAACTATTTTTTTCTTCTTTTGCTTATAATGATAAACAAAAAATTTGGTAATTTCGAAAAACACTTTTTTAAGATATATGGTTTTTGCACTATGATGAATATCCGAAGGAAGCTAGTTAATGGTATTTAAACTAGATAATTATATCGCTTGGAGAAAAGTATCCTTGGAATATGTTCAATGTACTTTGTTGCCTGTGGACACTTGTTATTCAAAAACCTCTTATTTTATTGTAGAAATTAAGAGAGTGATAATATTGTTTATGTGGAAGAGTTACACATTTAGCTTACCTAGCTTGAACATATTTATGGCGCCCCAACATGTTGGTCTGTTGTTCGGATACTTTGTAACAGTAATGACGCCTTACAGATGGTTATATTATTCTAGTCTTAAGAATAATACCATGCTGGCTAATTGGTTATAAATATTCTGAATGCAATAATATATATTATAAAAACTATTTATTTGATAATTATACTAATATTTATTGTTGTTTTTTTTTTTAAAAAAATATTTATCATAGAATTAATCGAATAATGTTATTGAAAACGGCTAAATGACGAGTCAATTTCTATAATTTTCTAATTCACAATAGTCTTAAATCAAAAGGAAGAAAAGCATTAGCCGATACACTTATTCGAATTTTAATAAGTGTATAAATTGTTATGACGAAGAAGTTAAAGTTGAAAAGGATAAACAGAAGGCATTATCCATTCTCAAAAATCCGCAAAGATAGAAAACACTAATAATGCAGATAAGAAATTTTTGTTGATTTAATGAATTGGTTGATGAAAAGGATGAACATAAAGCATTTACTAGTTTAAAATCGTTGGATTCACATGATACGTACCGTTTAGATTTAAGTTTTCGTCGTTTTGGTGTCGTCGCCAAAGAGATTCCAAGTTTTGATATTGGTCATTTCGGTGCCGTCGTTGATAAAGATTATATGCCATGATGTGTTCGCTAAAGTCATGATAACATTTTTTTTTCAGCACAACTGACGATTGACATCTAAAACTAGATGACAATTCTTATCCAAATGTTCAATTAGAAAGAACTAGCAAAATTTGTAATGTAATCTTATGATGCTATGCCTTATCTGATCTTATCCGATTTCTATTATATGAATAGTCAAATTTCTCCAAGTGCACGCACTGGGGACCAATTATAAATGTGCATTTAAAGGGGGTGAGGGATGTTTAACATTTATATACTAGGTGTTACCCGTCGCTTCGCTTCCGGTTTAATCTACACATGTAATTGTTTTAGTCTACATTCATAATTAACTATGTAAGTGCTTGAGAATGAACTTACATATAATGATTTACTATGACAAGTTTTTACTCTCACGCACCATATACTGTGCATAACATAAATAAGATGAAACCTAAATGTAACATATAGGCGGTTAGTGGTTTAATAATGGAGTAAGTTCTAAAACTAACAAAGGACGTCCTAATTACTCGTACATCATTAACTATAGTACTCCAGGTATTAATTGTAGCATATGGGCACTATAATAGAGCACTTTACATAGCTCAATAACGATAAGATTTTCTGAATTATACAATTGAAGCAATTATTTATATTAGTAATCCAAACGTTACGCACGTGAAACGAAGAATTTTAATATAATAGACAAGTTTTAAGATTACTTAAATTTACATTTGATATAATTTATGTATTCGATTGGATATTTTCAAAATTGGCCAAATTTATTAGTCACACCTTTCGAAGGAAAATCTATTTATTCTTGGCAGTAGAAAGGAACCAAGCAACTACCCCAGTGGCACCGACAGATTTTCACTGATCGACAATTTTTTAAAGCCATAAAACAGTACATTAGAGTCAGGTTTATAATCATAACGATACATGTCTTATACTAAAATTTTGCAAGGAAATTTTTTTACTAAAGCGCAGAAGATGGTTACATAGGCGAAATTTTGAGTTATGGTGGTTTTTTTAAAAAATGTTAGTTTTTTGTTTTGATTTCACGTTACACCCGATCTTGTAATCTAATTGGTCAATCGCTGTCGATCAGTGAAAATCTGTCGGTGCCACTGGGGTACTTGGAACCAAGCTGCCTCTGGAAATTAATAATAAAATTTCGTAAGATTTGGGTAAATTTCGGTACGGGTTAAAAAATTTAGGAGACTTGCACATTACCTGATCACAATAAGCTTGATTATCTCAAAATCATATTTTTTGGACTCTTTCTGTTATGGAGGCCCCATATTTTATAATTGTATTTTGTAATAACGAACTGATTTTAGTGTTTCATTTATGATTATATAAATGGTTTTTCTTTTTTGAAATAAACCAAGTTCAGGCTACGTATTCTAAGTGCTGACAAAATAAGTTTCATTATTATTTTGATTTAGTATATATGCTTTCGATTATACACTATAGTATCTTGCTGATTAGCATTTAGTCGGCACTCATTACGATAGAACAATTATTAAGAAAATAAAATTTTTGGATTTTTGCTCTGCTTGAACATTTTCAAAACGCACAATCAATAGTTAAATACAAATAACAACGTTACATGTCAGTTTTTTACAATTTAAATCATATAGTCATTTATTTTTATTTGAATTTTCAATAGACAATTTTTCAAAATTTTAATTTTAATTATTTATTTCATGAGTTTACAGAAAACTTATATCTAAATTAGAGTTATTAAAAATAATGAATTTTCAAAAAATTGGTATTAAAATGAATACAATATTACAACATACCCGCACTTGGTACAGTGATAAAATATAGTTTGTCCTTCGTCTGCAGAACGAAGTTGCATAGTGTGGTAGTTCATTTCTTCATTTCCACATTTTGGACATTTCTCTTTAATCTTTTTTAAATTATAAAATTTACAATTAATATAAACTAAATATACAATAATAATAATAATTTGGATACTGACTGATGCACTTTCTTCTTTATAATTATCAAGTTGTTGAACCTTTGAACGACGAGACCGAAGTTTTGAGGGAAATGTTTTTGCCTTACTTTTTGTTGTTATCACAATATTCTCATATTCTATTTTATTAATATCCCAATGTTCATACAATAAAAAAAGGTTAGGAATCAAAGAAACCGAAAAATCAAGCTTCGTTAAACACACCAGTTACATTATGCTGACACGTACAAGCAGGACATTTAATGAAATCTTCGCCTGTATTAAGAAGTAAAGTACCACAATCTTGACAAAATATTGAACCCAAAAAATTCGATAATTTAGAACTCATTTTTTAAAAAAATGAAAATCTTCAAGTTATGTTCCTATTGAAAATAAATATGCAAGTCTTACTTCGTGATCTATTTTAGCCAATTAGCGGAGATTTTTGATATCCAATCAGAACTGTGGGGAAAAATTAATTAATGCGTAAAATTGTTTTTAAAATACTGTTTTTCGAAATAACCACGATGTGTAAACATATATTAAACGCACAGGTATATTTTATATAGAGTGACTTTACAAACTCTTCGATTTCTGAGCCAACACAACTTTGTTATAAATCTAGGTTTCGATCAGGGCACCATGTTGTAAACGATGGTTCGATTGCGCAGATTGTCACAACGAGGCTTCGGACCATCTGATTCGAAAAACACTCGAGATGGTCTTTGCTTGCAAAAAATGTAAAAAAGTTTTTCGTAAAGACATGGAAAACTTTGAGGAAACAGATGAATATTGTCCTAGATGTGATAATCATTATATTATTGATGCCAAAACGCCACAATTTGGTATTGGTGTTGAGGGAGAGGATCCAAGATTAGACAATAGGTTAGCATAATTTCGTTAACAGATATCAGTAATTGTTATCTTTAATGGTTATTTCATGTTTTTTTTTTATTATTAGAATGATGAAGGATGAACGTATGAAAAGTGATCCTGAGAAGAGCATTTTCAATCAAGATGTATCAAATCGATTGGGATAGAAATTATAATAATATAATAATGGCACTCTTTTTAACCTATTATTATCATTTTGTTACAAGGAATATTTAATATAATGAACTTAATAGAATCTTGGTAATTTCAATACCAATAGCATTGAACATTATACATGTTTATTAAAATTCAAAAAATAATTATAATCTAGACTTATAAATTTTGTAGTTGAAGACATTTAGTCATCTGTTAAGAATTTCCTTTAAATTTTTCATTAACTATGGCTTACCCTAATCACAGTTTATAATTGCCTAACACTAATGTCAAATTTTTAACGTATGGTCCAATTTCTGAAATTGCTAACAACTCTTGATCTACTGATTAATCTAATCACAGATTGAAATTCATTGTGAACCTCTCATCGAGACGAACATTTGATATTTAAATCATCTCGAACAGATCAGTAGGTCAAAAGTTATTAGTAATTCCAGAAATCAGACTATATGAAAAAATTAAGTGCACTTTCTAATTTTAGAGACCACTTAAATGTGCAAAATGGTCAAATTATTCCTTAATCATGTTAAGCATGCATACGACGAGTGGCAAATTGACGACGCAAAAATGTCATCCACAAAAAATAACTAACCCAACGATGCCCCTAATTTTTCTGCAATCACGTGAATAAAAATCTATTATACTAGGATTAGATGGATTTATTTAAAAAATAGTTAAATTTAGATAAACTTAAAATAATTTAAATAAATCTAAAATAAGTTTAAAATAAATCCAAAATTACTTAAACCAAATCTGAAATTATTTAAACAAAATTAGTATTAAAAATAATTTATATTAGTTTTAAAATAAAGTTAAAATAAATTAAATTTAGATTTATAATTGATTTGATTTAGGTTTAAAATAAATTCAAATCAAATATAAAATAAATTAAAATTAGGTTTAAAATAGATTTATTTTAAATTTAAATAAACAAATCTAAATAAAATACTATATATATAAGTTTATATAAAGCAAAACTTAAATTCAAAAGCTAAAAAATTATAAATTTAAATTATAAAAAATATAAAATCTAATTTTTAAAGCAATGTTCAGACTTAAAAGTTAAAAAAACATACTAAAAATTATATATTAAAACAATAAAAAAACTTGTAACTTAGTTTTTAAAATTATATTCAAATTTAAAGTTAAAAAATATATTGTATTAAAAATATTAAAATATCAAAAACTTAAAATCTTTGGTACCAAAAAGTTCTCGAAGAGTTTATTGTCAATGAAGTAGCAGAAACACTAGCACAGCTTCCAAACAATAAAGCCTGTAGCCCTTCAGGAGTTAGTTACGAAATGTTGAAACATGCTGGCACATCTTTTCTTCAAGCAATTATAGTCCTACTAAACAGGTGTTTACTTACAAACTATATTCCAAAACAATAGAAAAAAAACAGAATCTTTCCAATTTCCAAAAAACTAATATTTGACAGTAATTTGATCAATACTAGACCCATCAGTTTTTTGGAGCATGTCAAAAAACTTTATACTAAACTTCTCACAAACCGGCTAAATAATATATTTACAAAATATGAGATTTTATCATCTTACAATTATATTGCACTTCCAGGCAACAGTACAGCCATACCTATTCATATACTTAATAACATAATTGAAAATGCATCTTGCAATTCCAAAAAACTCTGGCTTATATCTCAAGATATAAGCAAAGCATATGACTCTGTTAATCTTAATCTATTCAAAAAAGCATTTTATCACATTAGTATACCATCAAAGCTAGTTGATATACTCACTAACTTGTTAACAAATCATCAAAACAGAATAATTACTAATCTGGATCTTACTAATCCATATACAGTCAAAAATGGTATTGATCAAGGAGAAACTATTATTCCTCTTTTTTGACATATTTATTATGACCCATTCATTCACAAAATTGCATTAAAATACAAAGGCTATACATTATCTACAACTTGGAAAACTCATCTTTCACTACCCAAGACCAAAAGTCTTTAAATTTCTATCTCTATACTAGCATACATGGATAATACACTTTGGATAGCTCAAACAAAATCAGAACTTGAACAGATTACTCAAACTGACACATCCTTTTATTTAATGGCCAATATCCAAATCAATCTCTCAAAGTCCATTTTTATCTTAAACTCTGCTTCATCAACTACTTAGTTCTTTAACTCAATACTCGAATCTATAACAGCTAGTCAGCCTTTTAAATTTTTAGGCTGCTGGTTTACTCTTAATAATAAGCACACACAACAAATCAAAATTATTCGAGAAGAAACACTCCAATTCACTAACATTGCCAACACTAAGAAAATTACTGACAAACAAATTACTTATGTGATTAATACTGTCATTATACCTACACTCGAATATAGACTACACAATATAATCCTGACTCAATCTACATGCAATAACATATTAGCCAAATACCTAACAGTAATCAAACACAAATCTCATTTAGCTCACTCCATTCCTAATAGTACCATGCTTAATCTATACTTATATGATGTTTATAACATCTGGAACATCCAACTACAACATCATATTACCAATTTTTTATTATAAATTAACAATCCTAATCTACTTGGAATCTCTACTCGAATAAGATTACAACAACTCCAAAACAACCTTTGGTCAGTGACCAATATATTTCAGTACCCATGACCAATTATTGATGGACTCAACAAATATATATTAAACTTCAAAATCATTTAGCTCCTAACTCATCTAAATATGTTTATAATAGCTAACTCTAATGTAGCTTGGCCTAATACTATTCATTACAATCTCCAGCCTCTTGAAAAAATTTTATTACAGTATGCTCAATATACTACTTTCAAAAAATAACTTAGAAACCTCAATATACTATATCTTGAACAACTCTGCACTGCAGATAATACCACATTACTTGAATAGAAACATCTTTCATCTCAACCGTTCCAACTATCCAAAGATAGAAAACCATTATGGTTTACTTATTTGGAAGATTCAGTAATGGCCCAAAGCAGCTACAGGACACTCCTTTTACATTATCAACAACCAGGACATAATCCTTTCGCTTATAGCTCACAACAAATTCTAAAAAAATCAAAATCATGATTACTTACATATAATAACGATAAGATCATTATTGGCAAAATTCATAGATATTTTTATAATACTAATCAAATATCTATCATACATTGGCAATCTGATATTAATATAAGTCAGCCAAACTATTATCTCCTTCCACCAATTAAATGTACACCCTGCTCAGAGTGTCATTTAAACTCAAATAGAATTAAAAATCAATACACAATTAATGCATCAGTAGTGATATCTACTAAATTTTTAGAAAGAATAAAGTCCAACTCTATTAATTTTAATTCCAATTACTTGGATCTTATATACTC